TGCCTTCTTTGCCCTGAAAACTGTTCTCTGTTCACCACCCGTCCTACGCATCGCTGACCCTCATCGCCCCTTCGAGGTTGTTACAGGCGCGAGCGACATCGCCATCGGAGCCGTACTGTTACAGGACTTCGGCAACGGCCTCCAACCCATCGCCTACGAATCACGCAAACTGCATCCGCCTGAGCGAAATTACCCGATACACGACCGCGAAATGCTCGCGATCGTGCATGCATTCAAAGTGTGGCGCTGCTACTTGACCGGCGCAGACGTGACAGTACGGACAGACCATCGATCCCTACAGTACCTCCGTGCACAGCCCCACCTCAACCCACGACAGATTCGGTGGCTCGACTTCCTCGAGTCGAACTTCCATTATACGGTCACCTATAAAAAAGGAGCCTCCAATATCGCCGACGCACTGACCCGCCCCACTGCCCAGATCCATGCGATACTACTCACCCAGACCAGTCCGCTACTAACAGGACTATTTACTCACGGATATCAAACAGACCCATTCTTCACAGGAGGAAACTCGCAGCAATTCGCAGCAGCCAAGGGAGTCTATTACGTAAAAGCTGGAACCGACTGCATCTGGGTACCAGGGTACACACTACTACGGGAATTACTGTTACAGGAGGCATACGACGGAGTTACCTCGGGACATTTTGGAGTAGAGAAATCACGGCAGCAGCTGCAGCGGTACTATTACTGGCCTGAAATGTTGACCGACGTGCAACGACACGTGGCATCGTGTCCCACTTGCCAGCTCATGAAATCAACCAGGAAGCGGCCGGCGGGACAATTACAACCAATCCCACCTCCAGAGCGTGCTTGGCAACAAGTGACGATGGACTTCGTCACGGGGTTACCAGCCGGGGCGAGTGGGAATGACGCGATCCTGGTCGTCGTCGATCGACTGACGAAAATGGCACACTTCGCAGCCTGCAAGAAAACAATCACAGCCGAGGAAACAGCCCGACTCTTCATCACCACCGTCGTTCGACTGCACTGGATACCAGCATCGATCATCAGCGACAGAGACACGAAGTTTACCAGCAATTTCTGGCATAACCTGTGGCAGCAGTTCGGCACGCGACTACAATTCAGTTCATCGTATCACCCCGAAACCGACGGACAGACAGAACGGACAAACCAGACCATGGAGCAGCTCATTAGGGCCACGTGCGACGACCCAAACACGTGGGAGCAGCAGCTGCCACTCATCGAATTCGCATACAACAACGCGCCATCTGCCACGACCCAACAGTCGCCGTTTTACCTGAATTACGGACAAGACCCCACAGTACCCATGACCCCAAATCCCGACAACCCCGTTCCACGTGCGCAACAATTTGCCGAGATTTTGCAAGCAGCACGGACCAGGGCAGCAGAAGCAATCAAAAAATCGAACATCATTGCTAAACGCAACGCCGACCGCCACCGCAGACCTGTCACTTATCAGCCCGACGACCTCGTTTTACTCGACACTCAAAACCTCCGCCTGCCCATCACTCCAAAACTCCGCCCCCGATACTGTGGGCCATTTCGAATTAGCCACATGATCACACCTGTCACCGCGCACCTCCTCCTCCCTGCTGACTGGTACGTCAGCCCCTTGTTCCACGTCAGCTTGCTTCGCCCTTACGTACCATCCACCGGCCAACTCCCACGACACCGACCATCCAGCATGGCACGACCACCATCTGAACCAATCATCACCCCCGACAAAATCCTGAGTCACAGAGTTCGCTACCCCCGAGGAGCCCGAAAGATCGAGTTCCTGATCCGCTGGAAAGACCGTACACCTACCGATGACAACTGGGTTCCCCTGGACAGAATTGAAAACCACCCTGTCCTCACCGAATATCTGCGCAGCCGAAACTTCAAAGATGTCCACACACTTTCGTAAGAAGGACCTCCTTAGGAGGGGGGGGGGGGGGGGGGGGGGGGGGGAGGGGTAGTGTAAGGAAAATCCCTTTTCCTTACTTCGCATCCCTGCTCAACGCGTACATCACTGTAGCACCTCAGTCAGCACCGTTACCACTCGCGATCATCGCATCGACAATCATCCCGCCATTTTTCGCACATCGCATCCTGACCTCACGGCTCGGCTGGTAACCCGCGCTCCGGGCCTACGCCTCGACACTTTCCCAACCTCAGTCCCAGGCTCGTCGCGCGACTACCACAGACCATTACCGTTACCACTGTAGTTTCGCTATATATTCTTCGCTCACGCCCTCGCTCATTGTATTCTTGCTTCGATAGTGCAATTCTCGTTCGTTCACTCAATTGCACTCGTAACAATAATGTGTTTAAATACCGTAGGAGATATGGGTTCTTTAGAATAGTGTTGTTCCACTGGGCTAGTGCACTTTGTCAACTTTGCTCGTGATTTCGCACCGCACCGCCGCTTATTACTGTACGACAGCTCATGCAACAACAAAACGGCCAGCGCAGCTTGGCGTGAATCTTGGTGAAGAAACGGATTTCTCGATGGCCTTTGATGAACACCGCCCGTGAATATCGTATCCGCGGCCACTGTTTCTCTCAAATCCAAAGTATTTGTCGAGATCTTGTGTACACTATTTGTTCTTAACCGTCTTTTATAGTGGCTTTGTGCACCCCCTTGAAACGAGAGTCCAATCTTGGGTTGATTAACAAGGTTGGGCTTCCCGTGTCAGGGTATCTATATACCACCACAAAGAAGGCGCTAGGACCGAACGAATGAGCGAAGCGTGTAGTCTAATTGCTGTTTGGAAATATCAGGGTTATGTTTATATAGCATCAGGGACCCAGTTGTGTGTGTCAAGGGGGTTTCTGGTTGAGCAGTACAGTACTTTCGTGTCTCTGTTCAATGGGGTGTGCAGCAATGCACCTAAAGTGGCATCCAGCTTGGAGCCAAGTCTGGCCATCCAGATTTTTCCTTCTTTGTTCTTCAATTTGCTGCAAACCGACGCGGTGGCACAATACTGCGCGTATTGCTAGGAAAGGCGGTGACAAACTTGTACATTCCCCCCCAAAACTCTTTCTGACCTGATCACATGCACTGTCAACAATGTGTTGCGTCCGCAACGAACTAGTATAAATCCGCATCTCCTACGTTGAATGGGTGGTTGTGGAAATCAGTGCAGTCACAGGGCATTCTTCTGTGCGCCCCTTCTAAAACTAACCCAGACGGTTCTTTCAAGCATCGTCAAGAACCTCACTTGCGGGATGGTCTTCAGGAGGTTAAACCAATTTGCCAGTACTTCCAACCAGTAGCATCTTAATTATGGAGCTAACCAGGAGTATAGACCTCAGTGCCGATAGAAGGGTGCGTCGATGGTGTGCTGTCCAGGCCTACGTGGGACTGCTTCAACTCGGAAATTCGTGCTGGAGCCGCGAATGCGAGAGCTGACCAGACCAGAGTTGAGGGAAGAAAGAAATGCAAAATCTCCTCTGCACAACAAATATTTTCAGACTTGTGGGCATCACACCACCAGTGGCGAGGTTCAAAATTCCCCCATGCGCCAGACAGCTACCACCGCATTGTGCTAACCGCAGCATTGCTCCTGGTCAGGTACAGTGCGGTGCACCCCATAAAGGGCGAGCAAAAGCCATCCCGACGAGTTCAGTGGGGCTTCGATTCCACCCCCCCATTGTCAGCTGGGCAGGTGATGGGCACGGGGCGGTGCAATTGCGGTGAGCGAGCTCAGCAGCAGCCACAGCAGCCATGGCCACAACAGGAAAGCGAAATTAGCGTGGTCGAGGCGAGGCGAGGCACATGGGTGGATGTGCATCGTCCCTCCCTGCCCTGACTGACCGATCATTGGGGAGTCCATCTTGACTCGGTCGTGTTATTCCGTCCGTCCTCTTTTCCAGTTGCACAAATTTGACTGTTCTGGTTCAGCCTGAGACATACGCTTACCGTATCTCCTACACTAACTCACTCACGACTTACTTTAGCAACATATCTTCTTTGAATGCCGTGAATACGCGCTTGTATCGCCTATTCTGCACCGTGATTGCCGTGCATTTCCATTGGAGGGTACTCTTAACGACATACATTCTAGCGTTGTCGACTTTAGTAGTTGTAGTAGTCGATAATTCCTCCTTAAATATCTGCGGATCGTGATGTATCCACACGCTGATCAAGGGCTTAATAAGCCGGACCACAGACCAACACTCCCCCTAGCCCCGTCAAATGCGGCGGAGAACATGCCGTCCAGCCTCAATCTTATCCCTTCCTTCGCGTCGCCGTCATGGGGTCCGGGTCCCTCGTCGCTGATGTTCGCGTCGCTCTCCGGCTCCGGCGCTGGCGCTTTCACCGCCCCTGGCAGTGAAATTGCTCACGGCGACGCGCTTCGGAGATCCGCTTCGGATCGCGGCGCATCTGCCGCAATCCCCGTCCCTGCCACGAGGTCCTCCGCGCTAACGCGCGCCGGAAGCTTAACGATGGACGGTTTCAGCGGCTCGCCGAGGGAAAGCTTTCCGTACACCGCGACAACACACAGCGATCGCTTCAGTCACGCTCATTACAATTACATTGGAGGGAATGAGAACGCCAGCAATGCAGGGTCGTCGGCGCAGGGGCAGAGCTCGCAAATTTTCGGCCAGAGCCCGACGACCGACCCGCGTTCATGGCACGAACGCAGCAACCACAGCAAAGGGCAAGAACCTCTTCTGTCGAGGCACTTACTATCGCGTACGTCGCTCCCGGGCGCCTCGCGCTTCGAATCCGACCGCTGCGACGCGGCTCCGTCCGTCTTCGCCAAGCCCGCAGCGCCGTTGGCGGTGGGACAGAATCATCACTCTTCGGACGTCGCTCCGCCGCCGGTATCAGTCGCCGGTGCATCCGCGGAGACTGCCGCATTGCACGGCGGCCAATGCGGCGCGTCTCAAGAAGGCGACGGCGGGGGAAGCGCGGGTCCGAACAACATCTCGTCGCGGGGAGCGTCGAAGTAAGTCAATGTCGCTTGTGTTAGATCTGTCCGACTGTTAACCGGTCTCGAAACACGGTTATGAAACGAGCCATGATGCAAACCGCATTTCTCGTTTGTTCGTCCTTTCTCGATCCGCCAGTCACCCTCCGTTTCTCGTCCTGCCCAGCTTTCCTAATGCTGCTACTTCCCTCCCTTGTCGCACGTCCTGCAACTTCCCGTCGCACGTCCCCCGCAATTTCCGTCGCATCATGTTCCACGCTTCCCGTCCGTCCCCGCAGGAAGCGCAAGCCCGTGGCGCACGCGGGGAGTCGGTCGGTGGTGGCGGCGGACGGGTACTTCTGGCACAAGTACGGCCAGAAGAGCGTCATGGACCGCGCCATCACCAGGTACAGCCCTCCCCAGATACAGCCAAAACAGGTATAGCCGGACGGGTACTTCTGGCACAAGTACGGGAAGAAGAGCGTCATGAACCGCGCCGTCACCAAGTACAGCCCTCCCGAATTACAGCCATAACAGGGTAAAGCCCTATTACCGCTCCTGCCGCTGCAGGTGATCGTCGTTGTTGCCGCTGCAATTGTTCTCCTACAGTGCTCGTCCCATCATCGCCTCGTTGTGAAGGCGACGGCGCCCCCATTGCTGCCCCTCATGTTTGCCATCCCTCCCGTACTTCACCTTGACGTACAATCTCGTGAAAATTGCCCGTTTCCATCCCTCACCGACAACACACCCCCGTCGTTGTCAGCTCGGCAGCAACGCATGACAGCACTCAGTGTTGACTGCGCCCTCTCCCCCGCCCTCCGATCATCAGGGCGTACTTCCGGTGTGCGCGGCACAGCATGGGGTGCATGGCGCGCAAGACCGTCGATGTCCCCATCGCTACAACCCCCGCCGCTACAGCCTCCGCTCCATCGCTATCCGCTGCTGCAGCCTCGCTCGCTACAGCCGATGGTAGCGTCGCCAAGCCCTCTGACGCCGCCCCCCCCTCCAGTGCAGCAGCACTGCAGCCGCAGGTGTCGTACCACGGGACACACAACCACACCCCGCCCGGCCCCTGCTCTCTCAGCCTCCCCAACTGCGCCGCCGCTGCCGCCTCAGCTGCAGCAGCAGAGGGGGACATCCAGGTGCCTGTGTCTGCTTCGCCAGGCGCTGATGGCGCCGACGGTGCTGCTACAGTGGTTCCCGTAAGCCGGACGGATCACCAGAGAAGACCGGCGGTAGCGGAATCAGCAGACGTGGCTGTTGGCAGTGGCACGGGTGCGGCCGATGCGGCTTCTGCCGTGGCCCCGCTTGGCCTGACCCACCGCCTGAGCCTCAACTCCACTGTCTCTCTTGACCGCGTGCCGCTCTCACCCGCCTCCGCTGCCGCCCACCCCGCCCTCGCTCTCACCCTCGCCACGCCCACCACCGCTCACAATCTCCCTGCAGCCGCACCAGGAGATGCCCAGAGGCCCAGTACAGCGGAAGCAGCAGCGGCGGCAGCGGCGGCGGAAGCAGGGGATTCTGGGAGCTGCACGGACGAGCCGATGACGGAGCAGTCGAAACAGAGCCCGGCAGGCACACGGGGGTCCATGGAGGTGGGGTCCGTGCGCGCCGAGGACGAGGACCGCCTTGCGTGCTCAACCAGACCTGCCAGGTCACACTCGGTGGAGGCGCAACCAGAGGGGAATGGCGACGCGGCACAGAGAGGGGGCAATGGGGTGGGGCATCATGGAGAGGAACGAGGCTTGGCTGGTGCTTTGCGTCCTCATCCTTCTGCTGCTGCTGCTGCTGCTGCTGTTGCTGGGAGCCATCCCTCTATATCGGCAGCATTTGCTGCTGCCGCCAGTGCCGCTGCTTCTGGTCCCGCCTTCGCGCTCCCATCCACAGGCCTGGGAAACCTCTGGGCTATGGCACCTCCTCCTGGCACCAGCGTCCCTGTTGCCATTCCCCCTGGCGCCACCACCACCAGCAGTAGTTTCCAAGGCCCGCCTCTGCCTGCACTGCCCATGCCCATGCCCATGCCCATGCAGACACACCCAGCAACTGCCACCCATCTTGCTTCCATGGCTCACGCTTGGGGCCATCACTCCCACCCCTCCCTCCCCTCTGCTGCTGCTGCAGTTCCTCTGTCCCCTCTTGGCCACCACTTGCCCTCTGGGATGGTAGTTATTCCTTCCATACACCCACCACCACCGCTCTTCAACCCGTTGCACCACAGCCATGTACCAGCTGCTAGTGGGAGTGCGTTTGCCTATCCTACCCCCCACATCCAGGCAGCACAGGCGCAGGCACAGATGCAAGTACAAGCACAGTTGCAGTTACGGTCCCAGCTGCAAACACAGCAACAAGCACCACCAATCCACTCGTTCCAGGCACAGCCACCAGGCTCAGCTGATCCCGTTGCTAACTCCCATACCCTCTTGAATTTTCGCTCTGCAGATTATCCTCAGTTGTCCACCTCTAAGCCTCTCCTGCACCATGCGCCATCTGAGTTAGGGGAGAGCACAGGCCACCATGGAGGAAGTGATGTTGATGAGTCAGCACGCCACCTGGCATCGTCTGGTAGGGAATGGAACAGTATCATGGAGGGAAGTCACCAGGAAGCCAAGAGGATATGTGTGGAGTGGGGGCAGACTAAGACTGGAGTTCAAGAGGGATCGACAAGAGGGGCTACTCCTCTGGTTGCTGCAGTTGCTGCTAGCTCCACTTATAGAGGATCTGCACACAAGTCTTCAGGAGAAAATAACGCAATGAAGGCTTCCAACCTGGACCTGGAACTGAAACTGTAGTAATGCCGTGGAAAGGGGCTTTTGTTATGCATGATGTAGTGCTTGTAAATATAAAGTATTGAATCTGTCCCCATTTTTCCTCTATGTTGCTACACTCGCGTGTTCTGCAGCTTCCACAAGCGAATAAATGCTCAGGTCCCAGAAAGATTCGAGTTTTACAACTGTCACGCGTAGGTGTTTTTTGCTTGTCGGCATGATCGTTCGTTCCTTTGTGCCTCTCGCAACGAGTGTACCAGACTCGCCATCTAGAAGCCATGCTTCTGATATTTTTTTCCCCGTGGGTCTGGGCAACCACAGATTGCGCTTCTGGTTCTAAAGCGACAATAAACACAGCCGTCGGATCCAGCCTTGGTTCGCTGGCACGCTGACGATCATGTGATCGTCCAGGGTCCCTTGTGCAAGATCGCAAATTCGTGTTTGTCCTCCTCACACTTTGCGACACGTAGCTAGCTCTCACGGCAGGTGATTGTCCAATCATGATAGCTAGCTATCCACACATTCAGCAAATCGTGGTTAGTCGTCGTCGCACCTGAACGATCTCCATTGCAGAATCGCGTGAGGCATGTGATTCGGAGGGCAGCAATGAAACCATTTCATTCAGAGTTGGGCAAACCACGTGGTTTCTCGAAACAATGGAGACTCGCGAAGCTGCGAGAGAGTGAATCGATCATCCTCACACTTTTAGTTGGTTTTTTTTTTTAATCCATTGCGGTTAAACAACCTCAAGTGTTGCTGAAGGTGCTCCAGTAAAGCTTCACGCATCCTCCTAGAGTTCTTCCAACTTTCAAACCCTTTATTGAGTGTAGCACAGTGCAACGTATCAATCGTTTTTTTTTCCAGTGGGAGTGGAGAGAGTAACCCTGCAAGATACACTCCTCTTTCTGGCAATGGAGGTTGTTGCGAGCACAGCGCTGTCACTCTGCTCTGCTGCACGCTGTTCGGCTTTGGGGGAGTGGGTGGGTGGGTGGTCCTTCAGCTGCTACACAGGCACTCCAGAATCTAAAATTGGACTATCAGGAGTGGCAGAAGTGGGGTGTGGGGGGGAACAGCGACCAGTTGATGCTCGATCAATTCGCTTTGCATTGCGCACATACGGTACAGTACAGCCACAGCCCTGCTGAAGAGAACTTCATCTTTCTTTCGTCTTAGCACTTCGATATTTTTCACCCGTGTGGAGACTTAGCCATCACGCACACCAATCTCTTGATCCTTCCTCGACATAACCTCGTATTTTACCCGAGCTAGGTAGTCACAGCGAGCCAAGAGCGAATCCATGGCGTGGATAAACCTGTCGCGGAATCGCACCAAATCGAAGAGCTTTAGCGACACGTGGAAGGTTCTTCAGCTAGGACCCACGCGGCCCGCCATTGCCGTTCCCACCGCACCAAATCCGCGTAGTACAGACTTTCTCTTTCCTCTTCCCCCGGGCCTCCCTTCGAATACCTGCCAGTCCGCCGATCCTCGTTGCGCTCCGGGATCTTCACAGCGGCCCGAAGATAAATCGTCGCCGCTCTCTTTCCCGCCTGCCCAGCCGCCTCTCCCGCTCGCCTCTCTCGCGGAGTCTCCCGTAGGTGGCGCGTCCCAGCCATTGTCGTTGGTTCGGCCCGAGCCTGCCACACCAATGTTTCCCTTTGGTCCATTCCAACCGCTGCGGTGCTCAAGAGGAGAGGGCGTTGCTTCCCGTGAACCCCTGGCGGAAACCCCGTCTCCCGGGGGAGGGGGAGAGGCATGCGTGGAGAGGGGAGGCGCTAGCGTGAACCCGCTCGAGTCGGGGCTGCCCGCGTCGCAGCTGCAGCTTGTTCTGGTTGCGGGGGATACGACAGCCCTTCCGCCTCCAGCGGAGGAGCCTTCCGCTTGGCCCTGGACGTGGCAGGAGCGCCTCCGCGCAGTCAAGCGCCGGCGGATGGACGCGCGGGAATGCGAGGAAGCGGCGCAAGGGGAAGCGAGGGGGTCTGGCGGAGCGCAGGATTGGGGGAAGCTAGAGGCGGAAGCGGAGGAGGAGAGGCGGCGAAAGCAACGGCTCGGCATTTTGAGCGGGATGCGTCAGATGCTGGACAGCCCTGGTTTCGCGGCTGCCCGCGGGCAGAGGAAGAGAAAACTCGTCGTCCGCCAAGGAGGCTTGAGGCACCGCCTGCCGACAATGCGCGGCGCGTCGAGTGCGAGCGGCAGCGGCGACCAATCGAGCGAGAACACTAACTTCGAGGAGCGCGCAACGGAAGCCGCCAGGGAGGCGGAAAACGCTCGCGCGGCAAATGATGTCGCAACACTTGCAGCGCACGACGCGGCGCAACTAACCGTTGGAGGCCGCGTGGGCGCGGCTGGCGGGGTAGATACGGCCGCCGCGGCGCCGGTGCACGCGCGGGAGCTGGGCTCCAGTGTTGCGACCGTGCGCAGAGGCGGAAGCTCGTCGGGAAGAAACGGCAGAAGGAATGGGGGCGGCGGACGGTGCGGAGAGTACGAGGTGGAATCAACGCAGTGCGCGGCGGAGAAGGCGGAAGAGGGGACGGGGTTGGCGGAGAAGGCGGAGGAGGGACCGAACCTGGCGGAGCGCGGGGAGGCAGCGCATCCGCCCGCGTCGCCCTGTTCGGATGCGGAAGAGGCGGAACGAGCGGGGGAGAAGCGGAAGGCGCACGAGGCGCAGACTGCAGCGGACGGCGCTGCCGGCCGCGCCCACGTACGCCGTCGCCATGGCCTTCCCAGCCGCCTGGGAAATCTTGCTGCTCCGCCAACCGCTGCTGCTCCCCTCGCTCCTCCCGCGCAGGCGCACCATGGCAATGCGCCACCCTCCAGCGCACTCCCCAGCGCGCCCTGCACAGCTCTCCCTTTCCCTCTCCTCTCCCCAGACACCCCCCACCGTTCCCGTCCCTCCTACCCTTCTAGACTGCCGCTACCGTCCCCGTTGCCATTCCGAACCACCCCAGCACTGGCCGAGCCTCAGCAGGTTCGGCAGACCGGACATCCCAGTGCTGCCGAGGCTGTGGCACCCGAAGCAGCAGCACTAGACTCTGGATCGGTGGCGATTGCAGCGAGTGTGGACTTCCCCCTGTGGGTGCGGCAGCTGCAGGCGTGCGCGGGGGTGGGCGAGGAGGGGCGCGCGTCTGAGTGCACGGGGGAAACACCCGGGTCCATGCTGGATGTGCCTCAGGTGCAGCCCGCGATGGAAGGCAGCGACGCCAGCGGCGGCAGCGGTGGCAGTGGCAGCAGTGGGGAAGGGTGTGGTGGCGAGGAGGAGGACCATGAGGCAGAGAGCCGGGGGGGCCAGTGAAAAAGGAGCAGAGGATGGGCCGGCATTGGAGTGCACGGGATAAACACCCGGATCCAGCGCGATATGCCTCACGTGTAGCGCGAAATGGAGGGCCGTGATGCCAGTGGTGGCAGTGGTAGCAGTGGGAAGGGCCGCGCGCGGGTGAGGAGGATGAGGTGGAGAGCAGGGGGGCAGCGAGTGGGGCCAAGGAGAAATGTGGGGTACAGGTGGACGTGTGGATCTGCTACTATTGATGTTTGTACACATTGTGAGGGTTCACTATGTATTATCACTTTCTCGCTTTCCTGTTGTTGAAAGTTACCGGCACTTGCATTCCTGAGCCAATCACTCAACAATGAGTCTCCCTCTCCATCCTGCAAAATGCCTCTCTTGATGAGAGCTAGAACAAAAACATTGGGTCATCTACAGCTGTGTCAGAATGAGGAATGGGTCTTCCATTGATGTTGGTTGGGGTACATATAACAAACCCTAACTTCTGTAACCCCTAAGACAAACCTCACTACAGGCTACAACATTTGACACACCCCCATAGCCTAAGTGAGGGGTGTCTAGCAAAAACAAAAAAAAGAGTACGGTCACAAGACCAGTCCAAAAGAAAACAAAGCTCAGGGTGGATCACAACGTCACCACACACTCTGAGCACAAGCAACAGTGGCCACAAGGCCAGTCCAAGAGATCACAAGTATATATAGTAAGTGTACAGACGAAGCAGGCAATAAACTCAAGTCTACGCATGACTAGAACCTGTGTCAACAAGGCCTAACTGCACACAACACCTCTGGTGGTCACAAGGCGGAAGCGCCTTGGTGAAGATGTCTGCAGTGTTGGCCTCGGACTCTACAAACTCAAAGCGAGCCTGTCCACGCCTCTGCAACTCTCGCAGAAGAAAGTACCTGACGTGAATGTGCTTCACTCTGCTCTCCAGTCGCGGCTCACGACAGAGGAGGATCGACGCCTTGTTGTCAGTAAACAAGGTCGGTGCAGAGCTCGGCCGCTCACCAAGGTCGGCGAGCAAGAAGGTCAACCACCGCAACTCCTGTGCCGCCATGGCACCAGCGTAAATCTCAGCCTCAGCTGTAGAGGTCGAGACAGAAGAGGAGCGCGTGGAACGCCAGGAAACAGCTCCAGAACCCAGACTGAAACAGTACCCCTGAGTAGACCTGTGAGTCTCAGCGTCGTCAGCGTAAGAGGAGTCACAGTGACCAGTGAGTACGACAGACTGCTGCCCTCCAAGAACTAGCCCCACGCCTGATGTAGTCGCTAGGTACTTCGCCACCCTCACAGCTGCCGTCCAGTGAACAGGACGGTGTCTCCCTGGCGCAACAAAGCGCGCAAGGATGCTGAGAGGGAAGGCGAGGTCCGGGCGAGTACAAGTCATCAGGTACATGAGGCAACCCACAAGCTCTGCGTAGGGACCACTAGGCTCAAACGGCTCGTCAGGAAAGGGACCAGTGAGTCTGTGGTCAACAGCTAGAGGTGTGCGCTGTACGGTGGAGTGCTGAAGCCCGAACCGCTGAAGGACCTGCTGCACCATGTGTGACTGTGAGAGTGTAATGGTGCGAGCGGCTCTGTCCCTGGTGATCTGCAGGCCAAGGTAGTGGCGCAGCTCACCAAGATCAGTGCACGTGTGTCTCTTCTGCAGTTCGGACTTCACGTCTGCCAAAGCAACCCTGTCCGAAGTGGCGAAAACGAGGTCGTCGACGTAGACCAGAACAAAGAACGGTGTGGAGCCACGACGAACGAACAACGACGGGTCGGCAGAAGACGGCTGGAACCCAAGGTCAGAGAGGGTAGAACGCAGAGTGTCGTGCCACTCACGAGGGGCCTGGCGAAGACCGTAAACAGGTCGCCACAGCCTCCACTGGGTCCCAGGAGGGAAAGTGCCAGTGAAGGCCGAGGGACGACGCAACCAGACCTCCTCGTGTAGACTGCCCTGAAGGAAAGCAGTGGAGAAGTCAAGAGAGTGTAACTCGTAGTCTCTCTGTGCTGCTACGTGTAGTAACACCCGAAGAGTGGTCATCTTCGGGGTAGGTGCGAAGGTCTGAAAGAAGTCAACTCCCTCGCGCTGACTGAAACCTCTAGCCACGTAGCGCGCCTTGAAGACCGGGGAAGATCCCGGTGGCCGCTTCACCCTGTAGATCCACATGCCGTCGACTACGTTCGCCCCAGGGGGGGGAACCTCATCGACGTAGGTGCCTGTGGATCTGTAGGAGGCCATCTCTGCGTCCATGGCAGCTCTCCACTGAGAGGCCCAAGGCCCTGACACTGCCTCAGCGTAAGTGCGAGGAGTCGGAATGTCAAGGGCGTCGGGGTCACCCTCAGGGGCGAGGAGCATGGCACAGAGATGAGGGGAAGCGGCCGCCAGGAACTCTAGCTCAAACTGCCTGTCCTCTAGGGCGTCACAGCCAAGGGCAGACACACCCCCGACGACCAGAGGACTGGTAGGAGGAGCAGTCACAAGCGTGGTGGCGTAGTCAAGGCGGCGGGTAGAGGCAAAGTCAGTAACCGCGGCAGTAAGAGCGGACACAGAGGACACAGAGACACGAGGGTGAGTAACAAGAGAGGCGAGAACACGAGAGAGAACAGGACCGTACATGCGGTAGTAGTCAGTGACAGGAGTAGGGAGCGACACAGTGAGGGCCGACTCAGGAGGAGACGGAAGCACAGACTGAGACGGACGAGGTGGACTAGAAAGAAGGAAGGCAGTACGAAGGTCAGTGAAGGGAACAGGAGACGAGGGACGAGCACGAGGGGAGCGACGAGTAGCCCAAGAACGAGACGGAGGAGAAGAGGACAAGGGCGGAGAACTGGGGAAAACAGCGGGGGAGGAGTCAGGAGGAGGAAACGTGGGACCGTAGACAGGAGGAGAGGCGGAGGAGGGAGGAGAAGGGGAGGGGAGACCAAGGATCCGAAGACCCGAGACAGGAGGAGGAAGTGGCTGCTGCTGCTGCGGCTGCGACTGCTGCTGCTGCGGACGCGGCTGCTGCTGGGACTGCTGCTCCTGCGGGTCCAGCTGCTGCTGCTGCTGCTGCTGCTCCTGCGGCTCCAGCTGCTGCTGCTGCTCCTCCAGCCGCTGTAACTCCCTCTCCTCTCTCTCCAACGCCAGCTGCTCGTCACGGGCACGGCGAACACGAGCCTGGTGCCTAGTCGGGTAGGGGTGGGGGGGTGGAGTAGTGTCCGAAGCAGCGGCAGCTCCAGAGTCCACCTCAGAAGAACTAGGCGCACCACCCCCAGAGGTAGCACTAACACCAGCTCCAGAACCAGGCTCACCTGAACCCGAAGGAGGCGCACCCTCACCCCCAGACGCAGCACCCCCAGTGTCCGCGCGGCCAGCACCAGCTCCCGGACGACAAGAGTCCTCTGCACCCACCGGGTCAGCTCCAACTCCAGAACCAGAAACTCCAGCTCCAACCCCAGCTCCAACTCCAGCACCCCCAGAACCAGAAACTCCAGTGCCAACGCCAGCTCCAACTCCAGCTCCAACTCCAGCACCCCCAGAACCAGAAACCGGTACAGGAACAGGCGCCGCACCAACCTCTTGAGAGCTAGCACCAGCGGCACGCTGCGAGGAGGACTGTGGGGAGGGAGGCTGTACCGGAGGGGCTACCGAAGGAGGAGGGGTAGCCTGGGACACACCTGACGGGGCTGGACCAGGGGGGGGAGGCTGTACCGGGGGAGCAGGAGGGGGAACGGCAGTCAGGAAGAGGGGGGGAGGAGGAACCGGGAGACCTCGACTGGGGTACCTGACGTAGTACGGAGTGGACTCCTCGAAACGGACGTCACGGGAGTCAAAGAACCGGTGAGAGGGAGGGTGGTAAAAGGTGAAGTCAGAGGAGTCCTCAGGGAAACCAAGGAAGACACAGGGGACGGCACGAGGCGAGAGCTTGTCCGCGGAGGTGTCGCGGACAAGAGCCAAGCACCCCCAGACACGAAACCGCGACGCAACACCAGGGGACCCTGTCCAAAGACTGGTCGGTGAAACCTCTGGTCGAGAGACACGTGGCCAGAGGTTCAGCTGGTGCGCGGCGTACCTGACCGCGTAGGGCCACAGAAAATGGGGGGCACAGGCGTGAGTCAGGGAGGTGCGGGCGATCTCCATGACCAGGCCTATGCGGCGCTCAGCAACCCCATTCTGCTGTGGGGACTCTGGAAGCGTCCAGGACTAACGAATGCCCTGCTCGCGACAGAATCCAGCGAGAATGCCGGAGCGAAACTCACCCCCACGGTCGGAGTGGAGACAGCTGACACGACGACCACGAGTGTCCTCAGTGGTGAGCAACCACCTGATCAGCGTAGAAGTCACCTCAGACTTCTTCGCCAGAGGGAACACTGTGGTGTAGCGGGAGAAGTCGTCAACGACCACCAGAAAGTAACGCTCACGCTCAGGGCCTAGACGAGGGGCTGGGCCCCAGACGTCCAAGTGAAGCGTCTCAAAAGGCTCGGTGGCCGGACGAAGGGAGGAGGAGTGAGGGGTGGCGCGCAGCCTACCCTCGACGCAGGGACGACACGGCGGCGCAGGCGAAGGCGGCAGCGACGGCAAGACACGTGGGAGGCCTAGGACAAGACGCTGACTAGACATAGCGCGCAGACGTGGAAGGGACGGGTGCCCCATCCGGTGGTGCCACAGAACGGTGGGGTGGGCAAGCGACCGGCAGGAGCACGACGCAGCGACTGGAACAGACGTAGGAACCTGACACGACACAGACACCTGGGGGGACGTAGCAACCTGGTGAGACGCGGGGACCCGAACGGGGGGGGGAACCGGGGGCAGTGGCAGTAGGGGGGGCTGCTGGTGCGGCCGCTGGTGCTGCTGCTGCTGCTGCTGCTGCTGCTGCGGCTGCGGCTGCTGCTGCTGCTGCGGCTGCTGCTGCGGCGCACGCGGGCCAGTGTGAAGAGTGTAGAGACCCGAGCCCGGCTCAGCAGTAAAGGTAGCAAGAGGCTGGTAAGAGTCTCCGTCAACACACACCGCAGTCTCTCCAGAAGGCTCAAACCACACACCC